ATGGACATCACATTTAGCATTTTTAGAGCTATAAAGACCAGAAAGGAACATACAAAGTGAGGGAAATCCATTTCCTTAAGATATTTCACATACTTAGTGAGGGCTGGAAGTGAGATAAATATTCAGCTCCATTCTGCTATTAAGGCATCACATGGCTAATTTTTCAGAGTGCTTTTCTTCCCTTAAATAACTTGTCTTAGGCCTAGGCTGCTGCTGAAATCTGACGCAGTTGTTCTTGTTGAAAGTAGTATGCAGACCTGCTTGGTTCAGTCATGTCCATTGCTGTTGTCTGCACCTCTGGATTCTCTTTCTAGGCCTTTGTAGAAATCTCCATTCTGCCTTGGCCTTCAGTGCAGGCAATGTTATATATTTGACTAGTGTTGAAGCCAGATTCTGATGGATCAAGGATCCTGATAGGCTGGGATTAAAAATTACCATAGACATGGAGAAAGTTTCATTCAAAAAATATTTCTGTATTTGACCCTTGTTTGAATGGAATAATCAATGAACAAATATTTTTGGATGTTCTTTTATGACCCAAAGCTATTTCTCCCAGAGATGAAGGGCTGATAGGGAGACAGGAGATGCTGAGAGTCCAGCTCTTCTACCTCCAGGTCTAAATAGCTAGGCAAGGCAGAGCATCTGGAGGCCTTCTTTAAATTGTATGTTCATTGATGGACAAAGTCCTTCTCGCCCCATATAATTGCATGCTGACCTTTCAGTTACCAGTTATTGGTGGCTCTAGCTGCATCTAGTTTGGTCCCAGAGTTCTGGGGCTTGGATCAGAATTGCTGCAGGTGAATCCCAGAGGGCTGGCTGCAGTCTGGCAGGCTGGGCCTGCTGGCTTTTCTTCTTGCTGAGCTCCCTCAGAGAACAGTCCACACATGAGCAGACACAGGCTGCTCTTCCCAGTGCACAAGGCATGGCATGTGATCCCAGCAGGACCTGGGGCCTGCAGAGGACCCTGGTGAAACCTACATGCTCTGGTGGGTTCTTGACAAATATTGGAAGCATAAGTATTGTTGCTTCGTGAATCCTGGTTCAGGGGAAGTCGGTCCCATTCCCAGAGGATGTTTACATCCATTGTCTTTTTTTCTCTTCTTTCAACCCACTATTTAAAAACAAAATCATACTGAATTAGAGTAAAATTCTAGGCCATAACATCATCCCTGGTGTTATTTATCAATATTTAGAATCTTTGCATGTAAGAGACAGAGGAATCATGGTGATTAGCTAATCCAATGGACTCCACAGAGACTGAAATAGGTGCAGAGAGGCTTCATGATTTGTGTAGAGATGCACAACAGGTCAGTGCCAGAGCCTGCAGGAAAACCGTGCCCAACATACTATGCTATCTTGCCCAACACACTGCTTTACTCTGTATACCACACACTTGGGACTTTCACAGGCAGTGATCTCAGCTTCTAAAGGTTCTGCACTGAATTTCATCCTGTCCTTAGAGAGTATATGGAATTAGAGTCACAGAAGGGGAGAAAATGAGAATGTTTAGAAAACAACAGCACACATGAATCTCTTCTTTCAACTCTTCCTCAGTTAAGAGAATGCCTAAAGGAGGTAATGGACTCACTCAGAATCCTGTGGCTTCCTCCAATTTCATTGGGAGGGGAGCTGTCTCCCTCTCCTGAACTTTGCTCCTTTGCTACATGACATCACCATATCTGGAGCCCCATAGGATCCCAGGCACCCTGTGAGATGGTTGGGAACAAAGGAAGCAGAGCTCTGAACTGAACCTGGTGTTATAAGGCCTTGGAAGGTTGAGGTGAAAATTAGAAGCTTTCTGTTTCAACACAGTCTAATCCCCATTCAATAAATATGGAAAGTGAGGGATGGTGACAGTCCCCAACATCATAGCTATTATCAGTGTTGTCCACTACTGAACTTCCTCTATACCTCGTCTTCCCATAGATTATCTCTTTAAACCATAACAGCAGTTTCAATGATGCTATTATGTCTACTCTACAAAGGAGAAAACTGGGGCCACTACAGTATTTATAAATCAGGGCCCAAAATAGAACTGGGATTAAGGTCCCAGGGCTCAGTGTCTGATGTTTATGTCTTGCTGCTTCTGGGGAAAACAGACAAAAAAGACCCACTTAAGTCTAGTGTCTCATCTCCTCGAGCGTGGGTTGTTCTACAGTGAGCTGTTTATGGGCTGCTTTTCAGCAGCTGTTTCTCCTCCAACCAGATCTGGGCCTTGTGTTGAACCTAGGTACCAACCCTGGTTAGCCTTTCATTGAAAAAAAAGTATTCAACAACTGTTTACTGAGAGTCAGTTGCACCATTCGTTATGACGCTGACAGAAATGTGGGACCAATAAATGCATACCAGGAGAGTTCCAATTAGAAGGAAAACACTTTTGAAATATCTTAAAAGTCAGGTGGGGCTGTAGCTCAGTGATAGAACACCTGCCTAACATGTTCCAGGCTGTGAGTTTGATCCTCAATACCACCATACCTTTTTGAGGCATGTTGGGGATTAAACATCAGGGCCTTAAACATTCCATACATGCAATGAGTTGTGTGCGCCCCCTCCCAGCCGACATCAGACACATTAACGATCAGCCTGTAATTCCAGCCCACAGGAGGTAGAGGCAGGAGGTTCACTGCAAGTTTGAGGCCAGCCTGGTCTACCTAGTGAGTTCCAAGCTAACCAGGGCTCCACAGTAACATCCTGTCTTAAAAAAATGAAAGTCGTGGGGATAGAGAGATGACTCAGCAGTTAAGAGCACTGGCTGCTCTTGCAGAGGACCTGGGTTCAATTCTCAGCACCCACACTGTGGCTAACAACCATCTGTAACTCCAGTTCCAGGAGAATCCGACGACCTCCTCTGATCTTCTCGGGCATTGCGCATGACATGGGTGCACTCCCATACATGTGGGCAATACACTCATATACATAAAATTAAAATAATAGCCAAACATGGTGGCACATGCCTTTAATCCCAGCACTCAGGAGGCAGAGACACACAGGTTGCCTCTGTGTGTTTGAGGCAACCTGGTCTACATAGTGAGTTTGAGGCCAGCTGGGGCTACAAGGAGACCCTTTCTCAAGACGAAAGAAGGAAAGGAAGGAGGGAAGGAAGGAAGGAAGGACGGAGGGAGGGAGGGAAGTAAATACCAAAGTCAAGAGATGTAAGACAAGAAAGAAAGAGAGAGAGGGAGGGAGGGAGGGAGGGGGGAGGAGAGAGAGAGAGAGAGAGGAGAGAGAGAGAGAAAGAAAGAAAAAAAGAAAAGAAAGGCCAAAGTCAAGAGATGTAAGACTTAAGCCTCAGGCAGTTGAAACCCTAGCTTACCATCGATTATGGAACTTGAGACTGTTTCTTATTTTCTCTGAGCCTCAGTTTCCTCACTTGTAAAATAAAGATTAAACCCTGCCCTGTGAGGATCAATGGGGAGAAAACCTACAAAATCACTCTTCCTGAGTTAATGTGAAGGCAGTGATCGCCGATTCACAGGAGTCTCCGCCTGCATTTCCCACGCTGGCGCTTTGGTTTTCCCTTGATCATTATCAAGCAACATCAGTCTTCCTGCCTGAAGCAGAAAAGGTTTTTCCTCAACTGAGTGAAGCAAACCTGTGGTTTTACCAGAGTAGCCAAAAGCTGAGGAGAGACTTCAAACTTGCTTGTACCCTCCCCTTCCTGCCCCTCCTCTTCCTCCTCCTCTTCCTCTTCTTTTTCCTCCTTCCCTTCCCCCTCTGTTTCCTCCTCTTCCTCCTCTGTCTTCCTCTTTCTCATACTCTTTTTTTTTTTTTTTTTTTTTTAGCTTTCTAAATCTATATGATCTAGTAGGTCTTCCTGTAATGACAGACATTTCCCTACCATGTTTGGTTTTTAAACATCTGAAATGTGGCTAGTGTGATGAGGAACAGAGTTTTTTAATTGTATTTCATTCTAATTAATCCAAGCAACCACAACTCTGGAATCTGAAGCATATAGCTGTCTGGGCTCTGCCATGAAGAACCCCTCCCCGACCCAACACACACTTCCAAGTTTATCTCGCATCAACAGCAAGCAAAAATCATTCTTCCCTCTTATTGGTTAATTTTCTAATTTTCGAACTTCAGTGTACATTAGAATAATCAGTTTTGATAAAAACCAGTCTGATGGGCCTACCTCTAGAGTTTCTGATGAGGTGGGCCTGAGATTGTCATGTCTAGCACATTTCCCAGGTCTTGCTGATGCTGCTGGTCCAGAGACCACACTTTGAGAAGCTCTGTGTCATTTTCAGCATCTTGTTGGGAGACCGCTATGCTACAGTAGAATCCACAGAGCCAGGAGGCCCACTCAGACCCAAGCCCCGAGGGCAGTGGTATATACATGGTCAGTGGTTTCTCCCATGGACTGCTCTGTGGGATCATCTCGGGGAGCTTTTAAAATTTCTAATGGGAAAGCCTCACCCCTCACCCCAGACCACCTAAACTGGCCTCTTTGGGGGCAGAACCCAGACATCAGTGCTTTATAAAGCTCCCCAGATGCCTACACCATAGTGCAGGACTAGAAGTCCACAGTTTTCAGGACTGGAAACCCCTGCACTGATGGGGCTTCAATTCTTATCTATTGAGTAACAACAATAAATCAATTTTATTTCACATCCTAGGGCCATTGGAGGATTAAAGGAGGCTGTGAGAGTTAGCACGTTTTATAAACTGGGGAGGACTTAGGCATTGGCGGTCTGGGCAGAGCTGGTCTCAAATGATGGTGCTATCCCTGTGCAACAGGGTAACGTAGCTTTCTATGTTTTGTATTCCAGTACTGCCCCACCGACCAGGCCACCGCAGGCACAGATGCTGAGCACGTGCAGCAGTTCTACAACCTTCTGACGGCCTCCATTGATGTATCCAGAAGCTGGGCAGAAAAGATTCCGGGATTCACTGATCTCCCCAAAGAAGATCAGACGCTACTTATAGAATCAGCCTTTTTGGAGCTGTTTGTTCTTCGACTTTCCATCAGGTGAGTCCTATTGTTTTATCTTCCTTCAGTCCACACCTTCCTTTGAAGAAGGCAGCCTTCTTGTTTGGCACTGAGCCATCTGTGACAAGTTTGTTCAAGAAGCAGGTATGAAATATATTCAGACATTTAAACACTGAGCAGTGGGGAATAGAAAGAATGAGGGAGTGACAGCCAGACTGCTGGGTTCTAGCCCACAGTCTAACAGGTACACACTATGAAGACTCAGCGGGCCACCACCTCACTGAAAATTCAACTCTCATCTGTGTAAAATGAGGAGACTTGGTGATCTCTGAAGTCTGTGATTGTAGGAATATTCTCATGATGCAGAAGGTGTTTCCTGGGAGCTTGGGAACACTAGGTTTGCCTTATGGGTTTTTAGTTCACAAGGGCCTATTTATTGTAGCACACCTCATGGGGCTCTGAAAGTTCCACAGCTGAACTCCTGGACCAATAGATATGGTCCACCCTCTGTGCTCAGCGGTAACAAACACAAAGCACAAGTAAATTTTTATGTATCTATTTATTTACTTTATTTATTTATTTATTTATTTATTTATTATTTAGCATCTCACTATGTAGAGTAGCCTGGTCTCAGACCCATAGCTGGCCTTGAACTTACAATCCTCCTGCTCCAGCTTCCTGAGTTCCAGGACCCAGCTATGCACCACCATGCCTAATAGGAAGTGGTTTTTCAAACAGCTGGAACCTCAGACCTGAGTTCCTCTTGTAAATTCTACTTATTCATTACCTTTTAAAATGTTTTCGTATAGTTTTTATTCATACATTTTTTTCAATTCCATTTTGTTTACTTCCTTTCAGTTATATGTTTCAAGAGATAGGATCAATATTTTACCAGATATTGTAAGAAAAGTCATCATTCCTGTCCCTTTACTTCACCCTTGTCCCAAGTTTCTTTCTATGGCACCAGAAACTCCTTAAAAAATGCAACTCCGTGCCTCATTACCACCTATTTTGACTTGGTAAACTATGGAAAAAGTGCTGAAATCTGTATTTTAACTCATGCTCTCACGGTTCTGAAACCAATTTTTGGAAACCCTTGTTTAACCTCTGAGGCTGAATCATTCTGCCTTTGTGTCCTCTGTGTGCAAGAATCTGTGGGAGAAATGGCTTGGGGTTAGAGCTAAAGTGCTAGGTTAATTTACAGCCATTCCAGGGTACATGGGAGCTGGGCATCAATGTGCCTGTCATCTTAGGCATGTAGCAAAGGATTAAGTAGAAGATAAGCTCCATGCAGGTGGACACCACACCTGTCCTCTTCACCAAGCTCTCTCTAGTGCCTGTCTCCAGGAGCGGCACATCCTTGGTGCTTAGTAAATACTTGCTGAGTGAAGGAATGAATAGAGCTATTCATCCAGAAGCAATGTTTGAAAGAAACTGACTGCAGCCAACTGAGCTAGATAAATATGGAGCAAGATATTTTAAAGTTAAGGCAAAGCTGAGATTAAAGTAAGGGCCTCATCGAGTCCAGATTAGTTATACCTACTACTCTTCATTCTTGTGTGTACTAGGCACTGTGCATGCACTTCCAGAACATTCATTTTATTTAAGTCCCTCAGCAATCTTAGGAGGCTGTGATTAAAGTCCTGCTTTACAGATAAGAGAAAGGAAGTCCAGAGAGATTAAAGGAGTACCCAAGGTTATACAGCCAAGTCATTGGGTCCAAATGGAGGTTCCAGGGCATCTTTTATGAGGGAGGAATGGGTTCATTAAGGGCATTAATATAAACCATCAAGGGAGATTTAGAAACAGCCCTCTGTAGCTCCCTTGTTGAAACTCAAGGATGTAATACAAAATAAAGGGTCACCTTGTGTTCTAGCACTTTTGACTTTGTGATTGGCACTTGCAGGGACTTGCTGCCTTGACTCTGCACAGTGGAAGTATAGTGTCTAGCCTCAGGCCTTATCAGCTTCTGACATTTAAGAAAATAAGGGAGCAGCTTTGACTCATGAGCCCCAAAAGGAAGTCTCATGTTCATTGTAGAGAAAGGTTGTTATGTGACTTTTCCTGGGGAGACCTAACAAAGGTCTATTCACCCCAGAGAGGGCACTAATGACAAACCAAAGTGATTCCATCCAAGTCTGGCTTGGTGAACCAATGAGTTTACTGTGCCAACTTACAGGAGCACAGGTGAAGGGTTACTTAGAGGAGTGTGGGTAACCCCCTCCCAAAAGCCGTAGCACCAGAAAGTCATATCCAACATAGATGATGACCTCCCAACAGCTGTACAGATGGAGTCCCCCACTCAGTCAACTTTCTACTTCCTGTACACTCCAGCACCTCCCATGACTGCGTGCATCTAGATGGGGTAGGAATTATTCAAATTTGGCAAGTGGCTGAAATCTCAGATGAGGATCTCATGACCCTCTCCCCATTCCTGAGGGAACGTTAATGGTCTGATGTTGTGAGGGACTTCCGTGAGTAATTATATCTGCTCTGACTTCAAGATAGTAATGGGTATATCCCACCTAGAGGACTATATGTTCACAGAAGAGGTGAGCATTGGGCTTCCTCTCTGAAGTGTCTGAGGGCTTGCTCCTCTGTGCTCCATCCCAGGCAAGACAGCAACTGATTCTAGCAATAAGATAGAAGGTATCACAGCCCCCCCCCATCTTGCTCAGGACTAGTGGTCCTCAAAGACAATAGCACAGAAGATAGATGGTGCTAGTTGTTAGTCCCCCAGCGGCATACCCTTGTTTGTAGCAGTAATATACAATGTTTCCAACACTGCCCCCCTGACTGTGTTGGTACCTGTGTGCTACAATGTTACTGTGTTGGCCAAACAGACCGTTTAATGTGTCTCCCTCTCTGTTCCTCTTACCTAGGTCAAACACTGCTGAAGATAAGTTTGTGTTCTGCAATGGACTTGTCCTGCATCGACTTCAGTGCCTTCGTGGATTTGGGGAGTGGCTCGACTCCATTAAAGACTTTTCCTTAAATTTGCAGAGCCTGAACCTTGATATCCAAGCCTTAGCCTGTCTGTCAGCACTGAGTATGATCACAGGTACGCATTGCCTTGCCAAAAGCTAAGGTGCCCACATCCCCTTTTTCTCTAGACTGTGTCAACGTGGGCTCTGGGCACATACCAGATAACTTGGGAAAATAACTGCCACTTTTCTGAAATCTTCCAAGTTTGATTTAATTTAAATAAAGAAACCATGCATGCACGTGTCAGGAGCTTCTAGGAGAGAGGATTGTGCTATTAAGTTATCAAAATCCGGTTCTACTGGAGCTCTGTTGGCAGTTGAACTGGCTACTTCAAGGCTGTTTTTACAAAAGGTTTCCAGAAAGATAACCTTAACAAGCCTGTTCCCATGGGCCTCTTCCCAGTCCTTTCCTAGAGACCCAAAGTAAACCAAAGAATTACAGGATGTAGAAGACAACTTGACTCATTGATCTTTACTGGGAGAGAGCTAAGGAAAACAGGTATTTGTCAAAAGCAAAAATGGCTCAACTTCATAGTTTCAATTTAAAAGTTAAAAACCAGAAGTATAAAATATACTCAGCTTCTGGGGCTGGAAAGAAAGGTCAGGAGATAAAGTGCTTGCTTGGCAAGCATGAGGACCTGAATTCAAACCCTAGAATACATGTGAAAGAGTCAGGTATGGTGGTGCACACGTGTAATCCCAGAGTTGGGGAGGTGGAGACAGGAGGATCTCTGAGTCTCATTGGCAAGCCAGTCTAGCCTAATTGGTGTACTCCAGGCCAGTGAGAGGCTGTCTGAAGGAGGTGTAGATCGTGTTCCTAAGGATGACATCTGAGGTTGTCCTCTCACCTACACACACACACACACACACACACACACACACAGAGAGAGAGAGAGAGAGAGAGAGAGAGAGAGAGAGAGAGAGTTCCTATATGATTCTATTCTTCTGTATTCCTCTCCCTGTCTATCCTTTGGAAGATAAAGGATCCCCAGAGGGGCATGCTGGGCAGGTGAAAGGCGGTACTATCTCTGTGTCCCATCTCCCTGTGCCTATGGAGGTGCCCTTCATTCTTGTGTTTCCATTCTTGTGTTAGATGGCATCCTAATCAGTCAGACTAGGGCCTGGTGAGGCAGTGACAGAAGGTACAGGCCTCAGCAGGGGTGAGCCAGAGCTGAGGTTTATCCCTATCCCTTTTGTCAGACCCAAGCCCAGCTAGGTCAAGTCCAAACTGAATATGCTCTTGTGGCTGGAGGAAACTTTTCCCAGGCAGGCAGTACTGAGTGCCTCATCGGCACAGCTGCCTCTCCTTTCTGATAGAGCAGGGATGGGCAGTGCTTTGCCTAAACACTGGTTACATGCATCTTCTTAGGGCATCTCCTGTGAGCCAAAATAAAAACTATCAGTGTGTGTTGCTGGGAGTGGTGACGCACGCCTTTGGTCCCAGCACTAGGGAGGCAGAGACAGGTGGATCTTTATGAGTTCAAGGCCAGCCTGGTCTACATAATGAGTCCCAGGCCAGCTGGGGCTACAGGAAGACCCTGTCTCAAAAAAGACAAAAACAAAAAAACAAAACAAAACTATCAGTGTACCTCTAGAAGCCAGGCTGGTCACACGCTGCCTTTGGAATGGGCCTGATTTCCTCCTCCAGGTCTTTGTCCTGGATGAGAAGCTTAGTTCTTTTAATGAGGCTTGTCACGGTCTTCCAAGAGAGCCATTGGTGAAACAAAAACAAAGATGGCCTCACAGAGTATGGATTCTACTTTCAGATGGCATAGCAGAGCACCTAAGAAAATCAGCATTTGCGGCACAAGCATTTCACTCCAGGAAAACTGTAAGGAGAATAGCCCCCAAACCACCTTGCCCTGCAGCTCTTCAGCACCATTCAGAACCATTCAGCTCTTCTGTGACAGTCGGACATTCAAAACTGGAAAGTATAGACTTGAGTTCAGTTACAAAAGACAAAATAAAAAATTCTAAGCCAGACTTGGCTTTTGGCAAATAAACCCAGTTCACTGCCACATTGCTATGGAAATAGGAGCTGGATGTGGTGATTCTGCACATGCTCAGTGACCGAGGTGCTGCCCCACGTGTCACTGGATTTCCAGAGATGATGACACGCCTCCCTAGAGGAAGCAGAATGTGCAAGCTAATCCATGGGAGGCAGGGGGTTGAGCATAATGTGGAAATATGGGAGTAGGTACCAAGTGCCAAGAGAGCACAGGTAGAGAGGGTGCTTTGCGATTAGGGCAGAGGGTGTTTCCAGGCCATTGTAGACGTGATAAGGTTAGGCATAAAGAAAAATTTGCGGAAGCCATCGAAAATATGGCTATGTTTCACTAAGGAAACAACTGAAAAACAGTGATAGAGGTCACTAGACTGACAGGAAGAGTGTGCCGGACACAGAGAGCCCTTCCTCAGCCTCTGCACCTAGCGAGGGAGGTGGAGTTTGTCTTGAGAGCAGTGGGGAGCCACAGAAGGTTTGACCAGAGGTGCATGATGGAAGGCTTGTGTTCTAGAATGATCAACAATGGTGGCAGCTGGCTTTGAGCACAAATTAGGTCAGGAAGGAAAGTAGGAGGAAAATGACAAGTCCCATAATGTGAGAGCTGCAGCTTAGGAGGAAAGCCTGCTCACAGGGAGCGCTTGCCCACCAGGAAAGCCTGCCCAAGATGAGGGGCTGCCCATGGGGAAGGCCTGCCCATGGAGAGAGCCTGCCCATAAGGTTTATTTCTTTTTCCCTTTTTTCACTATTTAATAAAGGACACTGGGGTGCCAGATGCTTGCCACCTAAAGAGATTGGCAGTTCCATACAGAGTCCAAAGTAAGAATTAAAAGGAAGCTAGTGCCAAGCTCTTCATCCTATTTTATACCATGCCCTATGGTCAGAGCTGCCCAGCCTGCTGCCCGCTCAGGTAGAGACTCACTGGAGGAAGAAGCAGTTAGGCATGGCAGAAAAAAAGCACAGGCTTTGGATCCTGTAACTCTCTTATTTGTCTGCAGACTCGTGTTTCGTAACTATGCGCTATTGAGTAATGCATTTCATGTCTCTGAACTTCTGTCTCCATATCCATAGAAAGGGAATAATAATATCAATTCCATAGAGTGGTAATATAGATTCTAGAAGACTCTGTTTATGATGTAGCCAAACTAGATTCAGGATAGGCATTTGGTCTACTTATGTCCCTCCTTGGAGTGATGGTAACAGAGGCTCCCTTAAGTTGTGCACATACCTATTCTTTGGAAACCTTGGCTGGTCCAAAATCAAACTTAGTGTCATGAAGAAACAGGTGGTGGCTTTGGAAAGCAATATGAACTGAGCATGGTGAGTCACACCTATAATTTCAGCACTTAGGAGACTGAGGCAGGAGGAGCATGAGTTCCAGGCCAGCCTGGGCTACAGAGTAAGAAAATCTGTCTCAGACAAAACCAAACAAGGCAGTATAGTATGTTTGATGACTATTTCCGTGGACACTTGAAATTCGAAGGAAGACATGATAATGAAATAATCAAGTGAGATTGTCAGTGGGCTGGATGCTTTATCCAAGGTCTTTACACTTTCCCACAGGGCAGGTTCAGTCCCTGCCCTCATCCCTGCCAGTCTGTACAGAGCAGGCTGATCCAGGCGCCGTGTTTAATGAGCACTCTGTACTAGTCGCTGACCTCACAGCATCTTGGGATTTGCTGGCTGGGAAGGGTTTGAGCTGTGTGAGAGCAACAGCAGAAAAGACTCCCTGGGAAGCAGTGCCCACTGCTGGGAGTAGCCACTATCCCTTTAGCGTGCATGCCCATTAATCGTGACTTCTCCGGAAACCTCGTCATCAGAAAGGGAGGTTGTGGAACATCAGATGAGCCACTGGTATGAGAAAATTCATCCAAAACTTGTCTACTCTGAAACCAGAGAAGAACTCATGAAAGGGAAATGGGATCTTAGAAGCCTAGCCAGCTGAGCTTCCAGAAAAACTATTAAGAAATTGGATAGTGGTGGTGGCTTACTCAAACATGGATGTTTCCCATAATTTATTTTTGTCCTTCTTTCCCTCCTCTCTTGGACTCCTCATGAAATACTAGGTGGTGAGGTGAGGCAGGAAATGGTTTCATTCAGATCATTCTCCCTTCCTACAGTAACAGGGAGTACCCCACAGGAGTGGTTTTCAGATGTTTTCTAAGCCCCTGGTTTATCTACCCTAACTATTGCCTTTTGCCTATCCCACATCCCTGGAGCAGTAGGAGGGCTTTGCTTCTCTGCCTCTGATGGGGCACAATGTGTTCATATCTGCTTGCAATTAAATCTTGTTTAATAAACAAGAAATCCTCCAAACAGAAAGTATGGAATTACCAATTTATAAATATCTAAGTATTGAGGGCTTTGCATACCAAACTATCAGTATATAGGGATCTGAAGATGAGCTAGGCATGGATTCTGCTCTCAGGGCATTTGTAGTCTAGTGACATATGATATAGTGACCTCAGTGTGTAGTGGTTAAATGTTTAGGTTCTTAAAAGGGAGAGATTCTGTGCAGGGGAAGTTCAAGTGAGTGCTCTCTTTGGGGGGAAAGAAGAACGATGGAGGCATTGGTCATGAATGACATTCCAGAGCAGTAGCATCCAAAGAAAAATGAACATCCCAGATCAGGGATGCCAAGGCATGGCCATGAATCACCCCAACACGTTTGGGGGGAATCACATGTGGTCCAATTGCATTCTTCATGCATTTAACTACACATGTGATCTGAGTAAAAAGGAGAGAAAATTTCAGCATTCAGGCCGTTACTCTGAGTGACCATGTGTTCTGGAGCAAGCATGAAAGAGGATTCTGCTGCACTCTAGGTGATGGTTCACTGCCTCTGGAGGGTGTATTCTGCTGCACTCTAGGTGATGGTTCACTGCCTCTGGAGGGTGTATTCTGCACGCTGGACAAACTTAAAGGATTTTCAGGGAAATAGCTAATTTATTGGGATACTTACCTTGTAGCCTGATATCATGAACTAACTTTAGAGCATAAGTGTTTATTTCTCATAGAGTGATTGGGAGAATAGGATTGGAAAGGTCATTTGGGGCCAGATGGCAGAGGAAATCT